TTAATATTCCCTCCCCATAAGGTCCTAAACTTCCCCCTTGTAACATTGATCACACATGTGATTATCTCTTTATGCCAGAACTACTTTCCCTCATGAATATGAGGTCAGAAATTTCATCTGTCTTGTTCACCACTGTCTCCTAGCACCCACAGTGCCTGGCACATAGTAGGGGCTCAATAAATCTTGACTTATAAAGGAACAAGTGAATGATGAGTCCTTTGACCTTAGGCACGGGTTATTTAATCACAAAATGCCTCACCTGTGAGACAGGGAAAACAGCAGTAGCTCCTAGAATTGCTGTCTTCTCTGTGCTACAACCCACAGAAAATGTGTACTCTGTATTTCATCTGTTCTCAGCATTGTGCATATGAAGTCATGTGTATTTTTTATTCCAACTTTGTACAGTTGGGCTTAGGGTAGTTAAATGACTTCCCAAGGTCACACAGCGTGGAAGTGACACTATGGGAAGATTCCAATCCAGGTCTGTCTGAGTCTTTATTTCCTACCCCACAGGAGTTTAGAGAGGGAGAAAAGCCATTCTATCAGACTGGTGGAAATAAAAGTAAGCTTCATAAAGGAGATGCATTTATCCTGGGTTTTAAGGATTGATTAGAATATGGGAGGCAGAGGAAGCAGAGAAGGTATTCTCGGTGGAAGAAATAACACAGGCAAAAGTACGGAAATAGCGGGAAATGGCAGATCGATTCAAGGAATGGCTTGTGAATCATTTAAGATGAAGGGGGCTCCTGAGAAAGGCTGAATTCATATCATAAAAATGAGTACACCCATCCTCTCAACAGTTATAAACTGAGTGCCTGCCAGGTGAGGGGGACACAGAGCAAAGCGCCCTCATGTCCTGTCCTCAGGAAGCATACTGTCCAGTGCTCTACCACACTGACTCTTTGTTGCAAGGACCACATGAAGAAGTAGGCAAGAAATCACTTCGAAAAGCTCAACTGTGCTATTTAAATTCTCTCCTCCGTTCTGCTCAATCTGTTAGACTCTCCCTAGTAATTAAGTAAAAGCTCCGGTTCAAATTGACATGGCTTTTACAAAAGGCGAATTCATTGACAGGTAAGAGAAAAATTGGAGAGCTATCTGACCTTGTTGGTTCAAGAATTTTTTCTAAGTCATCAGGATAGGATGAACCACAACTCTCCGGCCTTCCTGTATGTCTAAGTTTCACTCTTCCACAGGCTGTTATCTTTCAATAGCTCCAGATCTCACATCTTCTCAGCTTCACATAACACTGAGATAAAAGCTTCTCTTCCCCAACAGTTGAATTTGATTTCAACTTTCATTGCCCAGAAAGTGGCCATGCACTCATCTTAGAACTGATCCCTAGACCCATAAGGGCAGGATAAGCTAAATGACTTAAACTAATCAGGACCCTCTGTTCTCTGACCTGGCCAAGCAAAAAAATTCAAGCAAACAGTTAAAGAGAAGTGGTTCTCCAAATGCAATTCCAGGAATAATTTTGAAAGAAAAATAGTAAATTCTGAAAAAAAAAGTACAGCAGTCCACTCTTGTCAATAGGAGCTTTGTGATCTTAAAAATCACATTATAAACACATCCAGTGGTTTCGGGGGAGGCAGAGGTGCAGTGAACCAAGACTGTGCTGCTGCACTCCAGCCTGGGTGACACAGTGAGACTCTGACTCAGAAAGTAAATAAAGAAATAAAATGATTTCAGGGAACCGAAGAAGGTCAGAGTTGCACAACCAAAGTCATGGGGGGTTTTGGCAAAAATTTCAGTAACAAAGTTGTTTTTTTTTTTTCTTAAGTAGATGTGTTTATTTTGTCATTGCAAGCTATAAAGTTAGCAAAAATGAACCTAGACCTCATTGAGCAAATCCTTAACAGCACTTAGGATTCAATCCAAATAAATGAGTGCCGAGAGTGGTGGCTGTGAACCCTGGCTGCACATTAAATCTCCAGGAGAGCTCTTTAACATGCTGATGCTCAGGCCTCAACCACAGTGATTCTGATTTAATTTGTTTAGAGTGTGGTCCGAATGTGAGTATTAAAAATAAAACAGTGGAGCTTAACTTTGCTGCATTAGAATCACCTGGAAGGTTTTAAAAAATCCCGAAGTCCAGGCTACAGTGCAAACCAGTTGCATCAGAATTCATGGAAGTAAGACCCAGGCATCAGTATATGTTGAAGCTTCCATGAGCAGCACACTTAGTGGCAACCAAAGGGAAGCAAAAGAACATGTCCCTAGTAGTCAGACAGCAGCTCCATAAGGCAGCTAGGTGTTCCTCTGCAATGTGTGAGGTAACTTTTCTTCTCATAGCCACATTTTTGTTTCGAGTTTTGTTTCCATTATATGTAATAATGTGAGTTAAGTAAGCCAAGTCCATTAACTGAATTGATGGCATCAGATCCACATCCCATTAAAAAAACTTGTGCTGTAAAAAATGTGGCCTGAGCCAGAGTTGATTTTAGTGGTTGACACATAAGATACCACAAGGCACAAGTCAATGAGCCAAGCTAAGGATTTGGATCAAGAGCTAGTATTTAATAAGGGCTTATTTGTGCCAACCGTTGTTCTAAGCAGTTGACATTATATAATCATATGACCTATTTAATCTTCAGAACAACCATGTGTGTTATCATTATCCACATTTTACTGATTAGGAAACCTAGGCACAGAGGAGTTTGGTGACTGGCTCAAGATCCCATGGTTACTAAATGGGGTGAGTCAATATTTAAGCAGCTTAGCGCTAAAGCCTGCACACTTAACCTCTACATTGTAGGAGGCTGGCCAGGAGTGGAAAGAAATGTTCAATGCATCTCACTTTATTGACATTCTACAGTGAGCACACACACAACTTGAAGGCACTTTCCTCTGTGCTCTCATTAGAGACAGTGGCTGGTGGCCTCCAGGCTGGTAACCTTTCATACTAGGTCCACAGGGTTCCTGCTTTCATTCATTGGTTCAAATGATTTGGTGAAGGTTAAAAGATGCTCCGAGGAAGAAGGACTGAGACAGAGGGGATGGATATTCATCCCTCTCATGCACCAAAGTCTTTGTTCAAGAATATTCTGTCTTCCCCACCTTCTCTGATCAACTGCAACTTCACCTTCAAGACACGGCTCCAGATCACCTTCTCTTCTGAGAAACTTCTCACCTTCTCTTCTAAATGAAGAGTGGAGAAAGCAATTCTTAAATTAAAAGTTGAGATTCTTAGGGGAAAGGGATGCATTTGTTTAGCAAAGCCATTTTGAGGATGAATTTTTGTTGTGGAAGGATGATCCCGAATGTTTGGAAGGCTCAGGACATACATGGAAAACTGAATGTCTTTGCATAACAACCGCAACCTCCACCTCCTGGGTTCAAGCGATTCTCCTGCCTCAGCCTCCTGAGTAGCTGGCATCACCGGCATATACCACCACACCCACTAATGTTTGTATTTTTAATAGAGATGGGGTTTCACCATGTTAGTCAGGCTGGTCTCAAACTCCTGAAGTTGTGATCTGCCTGCTTCAGCCTCCCAAAGTGCTGGGGGATTACAGGCATGACCCACTGTGCCCAGCCAATTTTTGTATTTTTAGTAGAGAAGGGGTTTCGCCACATTGGCCAGGCTGGTCTCAAGCTCCTGGCCTCAAGTGATCCACCCATCTTGGCCTCCAAAAGTGCTAGAATTACAGGTGTGAGCCACCATGCCAGGCTGTTGCATATTTTGAAGTACCTGTGTGCAGACCAAGGCTGAGCACAGCCATGAAGATTGTGGTGCAGGATTCCTGCATCAGGCAATGGGCTGGACTAAATGGTCCCCTGAGAACAGGCCTGTCCTCACTCTCCTTCCACGATATGGAGAATGCATGTGGGGAAAAAATGACCATGTGTAAATGTTTCTTTCATATTGAAATCATATTAATGAAGCATTTCCTGTGGTTATGGCTAATAAGTCAATTGTTTCCGTTTTCCGTATGCAGTAAAGACACTTGGAAAAATTCTGATCAATACCCTCTTAAAAGAAGCTTAGAACCCAAAACCTTCTCACAGAGTGTGGTATTTGTAGAGTTCATTGTAGTCTATAATTAACAAAGGAATTATCACTGGGGAGAAAACAGAAAATGGAAAAATTAAAAGTTGACCAAACAGAAACCTTTAATAAGAACCCAGTGTGACACTTTAAATGTGTAAAACCTTTTCTGTTCAGGAAATGTTCCCAATATTTTGTCTCTCTTCTTTCAATGACTTCTTGGTGGTCAAGCAGAGAAGACAGAAGAGAATGAAACTAGATATCCTTTAACGCTGTGGAGGTACTTGGTAAGTCATGTCATAGCTATTACCTGAGCAAATTTTATTTTAAAAATTATATAATACATGCCCACTGCAAAGTTTTTAAATGAAAATGAACAAATGAAATCTCCCCTTCATCCCCAAGCTCACACTTATTCCTTAGCAATAATCTCTGTATCCTTTAAGATATATCCATACAGATATGTATTTTCTACACATTATCATAAATACACACATTCTCAAATTAATATGCAAGCAAAATATGTTTTCACCTATTCTAGGATGCAACTTAAAAAAAATTAAAATCTCTGAAATAGCACTGCATCTTACAGCGAAAGGCATTATACAGCATTCACTTTCTTGTCTTCTTATAGACATAAAATAACAGTACATCCTGCAATAAGTGGCATTTTAGAGTAACAAAACACAGTAGACATGGAGTTTACCTGATTATATAGATGTATGATTGTGTGCATTGCTATAGACAGCTTTCAACACACTTGGGTCTGCCTCATTCATTTCAACAGCTATGTGATCTGTCATTGCATAACTATAGCCCCATTTATCTAGTCACACCCATTAGAGATGGACTTTTGGATTTTGTCTAGATTTTTCCTAGTAGAAATAATGCTGCAATGACCATTCTTGTCCCCAAATCTTTGGTCTCGTGTGTAAATATTTGTGAAAGAGGATTCTATGTCATTCATTCTATTAATTAATTCATAGCTACCCTGTAGGGTAGAAATCAGTCAGTCACTCAGAGCTCACCTAGATACCATGGCTGCCATGTTGAAAAACTTAAGAGAGTTCAAACTGAAGACTAGATTAGGAGCAGCAAATTTTTTTTCTGGGAAAAGCTAGATTGTCAATATTTCCATCTTTGTGGGCTATACTATCTCTGTTGCAACTACTCAACTCTGCCGCATAAAAGCAACCATAGACAAATATGTAATAATGAATTTGTTCCAACAAAATCCTATTACAGAAACAGGCTGCGTTTGTCCCATGGGCTATAGTTTGCTGAGCCCTGTCCTAGGTGAAGAGTACTCCTGGGAGTTGAGAAGTGCACTACACAGCATGTACGGTCCTTTCTAGTAGCCCCGTCTGGCTGTATACCTTTGTGGACACAAATTAGGATAAATTTCATAGCCCTTCACAGCTCGAGTTTTCATTAATTGTGAACTAAAATACACAGTCATGAAATATTTCAAAAGTATGTGTTACTGAATTAAAGTGAACACATGAGTTTATGTCCGTGAATCCATTTCTCCTGCTGAGATTTATTAAGAAAATAAAGCTAGGTTTGTGTTTATGAGAATTAATGCAATGCTACACTTAGAGCATTTGCAAGTACTTTAAAAATGCTGTCACTTTTTAAAAATTTTTGTTTTCTTTTACTGATGAGGAAGTTCATAGTAATTAATCCGCAAAGCCAGGAAGTGAACAAGATCATTGGACTCCATAACTTGTGCCTCTCCTACAGCACCTGCTGCCTCAAAAGAAGGAGCTACTACCTACAGAATCTGAACCCACAGAGGTTAAAAGAGTTTGATAAAATCCCACCTTGTCAGCAGCAGACAGAATGGTAGGCTCTCGATCTTAGAATATCTAGTAAATTTGCTACCCACAAAAAGAGGCAGATTGTGTAAAATTCAGACCTTTGGGCTGGCAGACATCCCCAATCAGTGGGTTTTCCTGTTTTTTTTTTTTTTTTTAATGCCAATTCAAATAGAACACAATTCTACCACCTGGATGGAAATGCAGCCACAGAGGTGTTGATAAAGCTGTCACAGCAAGATGGAGATGGTAAGTCTCGTCAATATTAAGAAAAGAACAAATCCATAAATAAGAGATTATCAAATGAAATAAGATAGTCTCTCCTCCAACTTCTAACAAATCTCATGTGCAAAGCCATGTAATTTCCCCAGGCATCCTCCTTGCCATCCAGATGTATAGAATATGAATTGTGCAGGGGAGGGAAATTGATATGCAGAAGAAAGAATTGGCAAGGTAATTAGAGCTGTGAGGCTTTCTCAGTCTTGTGTTTTATTGGAGAAGTCACCAATTGTGGAATCATGGCTTTCAGAGCACACTGATTATGTAACAGAGCAGTCCCCAAACAGAGCCTGGAAAGGACAGACAGGTTATGGGACCATACCCATAAGGGTGAATGGCAGAGCCACTAAACAGCTAAGGGCCACTTCCCAGGGGGGTAAGAGCAGGTGCCACCCCTTTGTGGCACTACCTGCCCAGTACAGTCATCTGCACCCTACCCACTCTGCCCATGGAGGCAAGCAGCCCCCTGCCTCTCCTCTCACTTTGTGGCTCAGTCCTCCCGACCATTCCTTCTGGCAGTGGCCACACTAAAAGTCACCGGCAAGTTGAGGCTGATTAGAAAATAAAAGTTTATATCAAGTTGCTAAAACCCGACTGACTAAGAGCTACTTGCAGAGAGGGACCTGCTGGGTCTGCATTCCCAGGGGACCCTCAGCTCACCCGCTGGCTTGAAGCAGGGAATCTAGAGATGCTTATCGATTGGAATTGACTGGAGCCACCAACAAAACATTTTTAATGGAGTAGGAAAGAAAGAGAGAAAGGAAAGAGGAGAAGGGAGGAGAGAAAAGTCAGAGGGAGGAGAAGCGCAAAGAAAGGCACAAAGATGCTTAAAATGTGTGTGAACTTCAGCAAATAGCAGTAGAGGGGAAGAAGAGAGAGGGAGGTCAGTGAGAAAGAAAAGCAAAGAGGTGAGATGAGTGGGCTGTGAACAGAGCAGACCAGCCAGAGAGATGGGAAGATACAGAGGGAAAAGGCAGAGAGAGGGGTGGTCTGACAGTAGGTATTGAGATGGGCAAAGAATGAGGCTACACAGGACAGATACCCAGAAAGACAGATGGACACAACAGTGATCAGACCCATAGGGACACAGGGACACGGAGACAAGAGAAAATATAGCTGAAGCCCAAGGAGAGACCCAGGGAACCAGAGAATTTCCCAGTCTCCCAAGGGAATCCACATTTCCAACTAATTCCTTGGTAGAGAAATGGAATAGGAAAAAAAAAATGTCTTTCTAGAAGAAATACCTCCCGAGATTCTGGGAACCTATTGCTCAGAAGGTAGGAAATGTCCTCTGTCCCCTGCTCCCTGCCAAGACCAGGGCTTGAGCTGCGGGGGCTGGGGAAGGTTGTTCCTCTCTGGGCTCCAGGGTGGGAAGTTGTGAACAAGCAGTGAATTCTACCTACCCTCATGGAATAATTGAAAAGATCAGCTTTTCAAAATAACACCGTGAAAGCTACACCACCCTCTGAGAATATCTGATGATGAAGGTGAGAAGTTAGTTTGATTTCTGTGAAGTCATATATTCATTCTCATTCTTCACTTCCTCCCTTCTGCCTGCCCTTTCTCTCCCTCCTTGTCTCTCCCCCTCCTCCACCCAATCTTCTCCCTCTTCCTCCCTTGCTTTCCTTCTCTTTCCAATCCACCCCTACCCCCACTACACATTCTCATCTGATCTCTATCCCAAAGAGACCCTGACTTTAGCCTTCAGGTCATGAAATATTCAGTCCACTTGACACTTTTTAATTAATCTTGGGTTTGATTCAGGTCATTGTGCTTTGATGCCTGCCTCCATAACCCTGTCCTGGATCCAATCAACCAGCTTTGAGAACCACCCTGAAGACACAGACAAGAGCACCTCAGGTACTAGGGACCTGGTTTGCTGAAGCATCTGCAAACATTCTCTTTGCCATCCCCCCAAGTTGCCAGGAAAAGGTAGCAAGCGGGATAAGATCTGTCCTATAACAGAGCAGAAGGTGAATTTTAAAGGCTGAGAAAAGAAAAATGCAAACCAAAAGCAACTGACAGCTCAGGCTGCAAATATCCAGATGATTAACAGGCTGACTGGATCACAAATACAGATGTTTCATCAGAATTCCACGGCTGTCCTCATCTAACTGTTCTCAGCATCCCCACCTCCCATATGGACTCAATTGTCAGAGGATTCATTTGCACTTGTTGACATTTTGCTCTGTTGAAAAAACGAGGCTTTCATTGCTAGTATTGTGCTAGTAGTTTTGTCTCATAGGTTGAGTCATAAATAGCATTAACATTAATGTTATATTTAACATTAATAACTTAAATAAATTTAACATTAATTAACTTAACTTAATAATAGCATTAAGTGTGCACATAAGGTTTTCAACACACTGCCAGGCACCTGTTAAGTGCTTGATGAATGTTGGGTGTTTTGATGAATTATAATCATTATCATCATATCCACGTTGGTGACAGGCTTGGTTTTCCATTCTATCTGTAGTGGGTCACACAACAGCTAGCTCTCAGGTGGTTCTTAATAAGGTTTACCAAATAACTGTGGAATGTTTTTGACATTGAGTGTATGATTCCCAAATAATCTGTCATGTCCCGCAGTAATCTTACATCTTTCCTAAACTCCTATTCCGTCATTCAACAAGTATTTACCAGACACCTACTGAATGCCAGGTATCATGCTTGATGCTGGGATTCTCAGATAGACATGATAGAAATGGTTCTTGCCCTTTAAACAATATAATATACTAAGCCACAGGACTTGCTGTCCATGCCAGTAACAATAACAAATCCTTACATAGCAGTTACTACAGCCAGATGTGGTTCTCAGCTCTTTACATACTTCCCAACGAGCCCATGAGGGAAAGAACTCTGTAACTCTCATTGCTCTACATTTTATGTGTGTATTAGTCTATTCTCACACTGCTATGAAGAAATACCCTAGACTGGGTAATTTATTTAAAAAAAAAAAGGTTTAATTGAGTCACAGTTCCAATGGCTGGGAAGGCCTCAGAAAACTTAGAATCATGGGGGGAGGCAAAGGAGAAGAAAAGCACCTTCTTCTTCACAGGGTGGCAGGAAGGAGAAGAGCCAAGCAAAAAGGGAGAAGCCCGTTATAAAATCATCAGATCTCGTGAGAACTCACTCACTATTATGAGATCAGCATGGAGATAACCACCTCCGTAATTCAATTACATCCCACCAGGTCCCTTCTACCACACATGTTGTTGAGTTACCTACTGGAGGTTGAGGGTTAAGGATTCAGATCAAGCCTAAACCTTATGTCCCTGGACTCACAAGGGGAAGGAGTCAGTTACCAGTGCCAAGAGGTAGAGAAGGCAGTGGTTAATAATTTGGGATTATGGAAACTACAATTCAAGAAGAGATCTGGGTGGTGATACAGCCAAACCATATCAATATATGTGTAGATTGAGGCCCAGAGAGGTAGGTTAATCTGCCCAAGGTCACACCACCATAAGCAGGAATGCCACGACTGAAAACCAGACAGTTTGGCTCTAGCGTTCACACAGCTAACCACCAAGCTATGCTCTTGCATTTGGTACACGCTGCTTCTTTATGTTAGCAAACTTTTGTTGGTTTCTGCAACTAGATTTAAATTTCTTAACTCCACAGAGGCAGACAACTATCAATGGATGTTGGGGGCTAAGAAGAAGGGGAGTAGGAATTACTGCTTATTTATACGGAGTTTCTGTCTGAAGAGATCCAAAAGTTGTAGACCTAGATGGTAGGGATGATTTCAAAACATTGTGAGTGCACTTAAGGCCACTGAGTTGTACACTTTAAAATGGCTAAAATGGTATTTTTTAATCCTGAAGTGCAGAGTTGTCTTGTAACTTCATATCCCCTTCATTTCTGGAACTTTAAAGTTCCCAGCTAACATTTCTTCATTGGTTGACTGCTTGCCAGTGGTGTTAGAAACGGAGCCTGCTTTACTTTTATTATTATTATTATTTATTTTATTTTTTGAGACGGAGTTTCGCTCTTTTCACACACACACACACACACACACACACACACACACACACACAGGCGCGCACCACCATGCCCAGCTAATTTTTTTGTATTTTTAGTAGAGACGGGGTTTCACCATGTTGACCAGGATGGTCTCGATCTCTTGACCTCGTGATCCACCCGCCTCGGCCTCCCAAAGTGCTGGGATTACAGGCGTGAGCCACCGCGCCCGGCTACTTTTATTATTATCATTCTCGTGATTGTGAAAAACAGAGAGAGCCCTTTTCAGTACCTAGAAGATCCTCCTCCATATAAGAACAACTGGAGGCCGGGCGCGTGGCTCAAGCCTGTAATCCCAGCACTTTGGGAGGCCGAGGCGGGTGGATCACGAGAGATCGAGACCATCCTGGTCAACATGGTGAAACCCCATCTCTACTAAAAATACAAAAAATTAGCTGGGCATGGTGGTGTGTGCCTGTAATCCCAGCTACTCAGGAGGCTGAGGCAGGAGAATTGCCTGAACCCAGGAGGCGGAGGTTGCGGTGAGCCGAGATCGTGCCATTACACTCCAGCCTGGGTAACAAGAGCGAAACTCTGTCTCAAAAAAAAAAAAAAAAAAAAAAAAAAAAGAGCAACTGGAGCCACAGACAGGGCTAATGCTGAGGCTAAGGGGACAGGTGTTTGGTTCCACGGAGGTGTTTGGTATTAGGAGCTGGGCTAGAGCAGGAAAGATGCTTTCCAAGAAGTAAGGATGCAAAAGAGCAAGTTTGCACAAGACAGAGTTGAGATGGCAAAGTCCAGAGCCAGAGGAGTAAATCCAGCTTGAGGTTTGAAGGGCAAATCAGGCATGCAAACAGAAATCAGCCTCAGGGTGAGGGACTGAAAGAATCTCAAGCCTTTTGGAAAAGAGAATGTAATAGTAATATCATAAAAATAATAAGATGGGGGACGGTGGCTGACACCTGTAATCCCAGCACTTTGGGAGACTGAGTGGGGCGGATTTCTTGAGGTTAGGAATTCGAGACCAGCCTGGCCAACATGGCAAAACCTCATCGCTACTAAAAATACAAAAAGCAGCTGAACATGGTGATGCATGCCTATAATCCCAGCTACTCGGGAGGCTGAGGCGGGAGAGTCCGTTGAACCCAGGAGACGGAAGTTGCAGCAAGCCAAGATCACGCCACTGCACTCCAGCCTCCATGACAGAGTGAAACTACATCTCAACAATAAATAAATAAAATAGAATAACAGTAATAGTAAATCAAACACTTAGTGCTTTCCACCTGCCAGATACTGTTTCAAATATTTTTATATGTTAACTCATTTATTCTTTATTATTATCATTGCCTCTATTTTACAGATAAAGAAACTAAGGCACAGGAAAGTTAAGAGACTTGCCCAGGGTCACACAGCTAGCAAGTGAATGAACTTGGATTCCAGGATGAGTGATCAAGAACCAGATCGACTTCTTAACTGTACAAGATAGGAAGTTCATCTGGATTTACGATTCTGATCCTGCTGAGGGCCAACTGCTGGCAGGAATGACATGAGGGGCCATGGAGGTTTGAGGTGGAGGTGGGGGTGGAGGTGGAGGCTTACAGATACAGATCAAGCCTGGAACTTACAAGTAAAAGAGCCAGTAACCAATGCCAAGAGGCAGAGAAGGCAGTGGTTAGTAACGTGGACTGAACTTGAAGCCTGGGCTTGAATTCTAGCTTTGCCATCTAGCAGTCATGAAACCTTGGGCAAATGATTTCATCTCCTTCTGCCTCAATTTCCTCCTCTATAACATGGGGATATACTACTACCTATCTCGTAGAGTTGCTGCAATAATTACATGTGTCTACTTTCATAAAGCATTGAGTACAGAACCTGTCATAAGGTGAATACTAAATAAAATGAATCCATTAGAGGAAAGAGTTGCAACTTTTCGTGTCTTAGCGGGAAGTTGGGGAAGCAGTGACCCAACTGGGGAATTCCATGCTTGTTTTGCCTTTAACAAAGGAAACTAAATCCTTGGTTGAAAACAAAACAAAACTGGTGGCTGGTGTCACACTGAAACTTACATATATGCTTTGAGCCACTTGCCTATGCAAGCCCACCACCAGTTCCTGCCTCACTTCTCTCCCCTTCTCATCCACATGTCAGGAGAGAGGGGCTGCAGGTCCGCATGCCTTGAGCTGCCTACCTAGTGATATTTAATTAATCTATTCATTTGATCCTTAGATTTGCTTAGTGGCTCCCCTTCCTTGACACTCCCTGGGGTTTGAATACAGTAAAATTCAGCCCTAATTAAAATTGTTGAAACAGCAGCCGTCTCCATTAATAAAACATCAGAATGAGACGGGATTTTTTTTTTAACAGCCTTTTCTTAAAAACTCTGAGAAAGTGGACAGAGTGAGCCCAGGTAGGAAACGAGAAAGTTAACAAACTCCTTTTTGTTGCCAAGTGTTTGAAGGTGGTAATTCTAATTTTCTCCTGGTCTGGGGCTGCAGGCCAATTCTTTATAGCGAAAAGAACCCCAGAGTCTACATGATGCAGACTGCCTGTTACAGACTTGCTGTGTGAGATCCCCTCTTTTAGGTCCCAGTTTTAAAATGGGGGTGCCAGACCAGCTTTAATGTTCTGTGGTCTGAAAGCATCAAGTTGTCTAGTCCTTGAATTGGGCCAAATTGAGGAATTCTTGAGCCTGTGTCACGGTCCTAAGATAATAACCACAGGCAGTTTCTTCCACTCAAGTCACTTGGCTTTGGGTCGTGTAAGCTGCCCTCTGACCACGGAAGTCTGTACCAGAGACCAGGGTCCTCTCGCAGGCATCTGTGCAAGTCCAACTAAGGGGACCAATGAGGAGTTTGGCTCAGGAATTCTCCATGGTGGATTGGAGAATTCTCCAGCCAACCCAATCAGATCCTATCTCCTGGTGGGCGGGGGGGGGGGGGTGCGTTTACACGTGCCTTTCCCCAAGCAGAGGGGAGGAAAAGCAGGAATAGTTCATCCATGGCTGCAGTGTGGGCATGTGAGTCACCCAAACCTGGATTTCAAATCCTGCTGGTACCTCCTTGCCATGTACCGGCTACATGACTTTGGACATGCTGTATATCGTCTCTGTATCTCAGTTTGCTTATACATAAATGGGTTAATAAGTTCTTTCTTTATAGAGTAATTTAAGGAATTAATGCCTGATGCATACACCCCTGCTTTGGGTAGCTGTGGTTACTATTAAGGGCAGTGGATGAAGAAACAGGAGACAGAAACAGTACACAGAAGCAGAAGAGACACAGAAAAGAAAAGATGAATCACAAGAACTGTTGTCTCTGGGTGAAGCACCCTTCCCAGTTCTCAGTCCGTGTGCTTTTATGAGGCCCCACCTCCTTTTCCAGCCATAGTGCATGTGACATAGATCCAAGTCTATCAGAGTCAATCACCCCTTTTTCTAGCCACAGGCCCAAGTGAATCAGAGCAACACATTCTCCCAGCCATTGTGATTGGTCCAGAGCTGGGCACATGGAGCTCTGATAGAGCTCCACCCCCTTTTCCAGCCATAGTGCATGTGACTCAGGCCCAAGCCAATCAGAGCATAATATTCTCTCAGCCATTGTGATTGGCCCAGAGATGAACACATGACCAAAGTCAGCCTACCCATGCTACCTGGGTTTCACCCTCCAATACCCAGGATTACTTTCTCTCCAACATCTATGAGAAATCCAGTTCTATTCACCATTTGCGATATTTGAGAACTCTTGGAAATTTGCCACTGGGTCTTGGAAAGGAGTCACATAACAAAGCAAGTAACTTTCCACCATATTGCTATCTCCACTCTACAACTTACTGTCTTTCCCCCCTGTCCTCCCCTCCTCCCCAGAACAACTCTGGAAATCCACCCAGGTATTTCCAAGAATAATCTTCAGTCTCAACACCAATCAAAGGATTTCCCAACAAAAGAAGTTTTCCCTTTGGAAGAGCAATGCTGGTTGAACTGAATGTCCCCTGTATCAGGGCATAAGTCAAATACAAGGTAAGCCCTCCATCAGCAGAGCTCATTATCATCACAGGCATTCCTGAGCAGGAGGGTGGTGGGATCATTATGTGCACTGCCAGTCCTCCTGATTTTGCTGAGACGTTATTCCTACCCCTGGAATCAACATCCCCAGTGGAGGAAGAAAAGGGCTTTCCATCCTTGTTCCTGGAGTCAGAGAGATTGCAATGCCCAACCGCCTTATTCAACTTAGGGTTTATAGGTCTCACTGCCACTAGAATCACCAAGGTTAAATATTCTGGGTAAGAACTGGGATTAATAACATAGCAATGGCCTCACACTGGCTGTGAATTCCCCCTGCTAGTTAACAGAATGATTCATTTGAATTGCTTCCCCCTTCATTGTGGCAAGGGGCCTGCCTCTCCCCCTGCCAGCCCTTCCCTTTCTAGGAAAAGACAAGCAAAGCTTATTGAATTCTAAGACATCATCGTGGCAGCAGGCATCAATAGAGGGAGACAGATGTGAGAACAGAACACGAAGCCCCATATCCAACCCCTTGCAGTTTCCCCACCCTTTCCTCCTCTTCTCAGCAAATCTACTCAGCCCCCCTAGGGAAGCTTAGAGTTCATTATGAACAGCAGCCAAGAGTCAATAAATACATGGCTGAGATTTCAGTCACCTACTGTGGCTGTCCTCACCACCAACAAAGTAATTGCATGGCCCCAGCCTGGGTAGGGGAGGCTGTGGGGCAGGGACAAGTGGCAGGGAGCTTAGCAGAGTGCTGCAGCCAGAATGACCTTTTCATAAAGCAAATTTGATCATGTCAAACACCTTCACCTCACTGAAAACTCTTCAATAGCTCCCTGTTGCTTCTAGGATAAAGACCAAAACATTTAATATGGCTTGCAAGATTGTGCAGGACCTGGCCCCAGCGCACTCATCTAATCTCATATCTGATCATGACACACACACACACACACACACACACACACACACGTTTTCAACTACTCTGGCCACTTTCAGTTGCTCAATAATCTTTCAGTTGCTAGTGGACCTCCAAAACTCAGATCAAATATTACCTTCTCAATCTAGAACAAATCCTACTGTAATCTAATCTTGTAGCACAATTGTCCTTCTTGGCATTTGTCCTACCCTGCAGGTTTATATTTGTAGAAATTGTGTGTGTGTGTGCATGTAATCATTATCTAGATTATGATCAGGGTCTGGGTCCTAGGCAGCCATGCAAGTTCAACTAATGATGATGTTGTCTGTACCCACTGTCAGATAATTCTACATTTTGCTCTCCAAGTATCTCCAGTTCCTAACACAATGTTTGGCACAGAACAGGAAATCAGTAGATTTTTGCTGAATGAATGTACGAATGAATGGGTTATAAAGTGGGGCATATCCTAAGAGCTAGAAGCGGTTCAGTGATATTAAAGCAGAGAAGATGTGCAGCAGGATGGGAAAAGAGGCAAGCGAGGTAGACAGAACAGATCAGAGAACAATCATTATTCACGCAGCATCCGCTGTATGCCAGGTACTGTTCTAGGCATTAGGGATACAGCAGTGAATAAAGCAAACAACATGATTTGCTTTTATGGAGCTTGCATCTGAGGCTATTCCCCTCTGATGTTGCAGAATAGCTACAGAGCAATATTCTTCTTGGAAGATCTACAGTTGTCATGTTATTTTAAATTGCAGCAAAAAGATATTGCAAACATAACCAGGTGTAAGGGGTCTCCTATGGGCAATATCTAAGCTGGATCTTCACCCATGGGAAAGCCAAAGTAAACACTCCAACAGACCCCCAATGTAAATTCACCCCACATCCTATTGATAAGAAGTGAATGGTTTCCACCAGATTCAGTGGTAGGATAGGAAGGAGGATTAAGTTGCATACCATACAATGAAACATCCTCAATTTGCTCCATTAAACACCTCTGCCCTTTTCCTCCAGTTCCTCACTCCTATCAGCTCTTTCATCTATCTTCTCTCTCTCTTACACAGCCTCTGAAAATTCTTCCTCTTCCAAACAATTCCGCATTCATCTTTAGCTTGCAAATTTGCCCAACAGTGACCATCAACCATTTGTCAAACATGCCCCTTGAGGGCCTTAGTTTCTGCTGCCTTATAAACGTGGATCAAATTTAGAGAACTTTTTATAAAGTGTTTGAATTTACCAGTGTGCCACGGCCCACTGGGTGGGAGATGCTGTTATATGGTGCCATGTTCTTCATGCTAAGGATTTTGGCCTCTTTCCAAAATACCATGTGAAACACAAGAGGTTTTCATCATGGGAATGACCACTGGGCACATTCTCCCCAACTGCACCTGAGATTTTGCCTCAGCTTCCAGGAAGAATCTAAATGAAGCTGTGGGTGTCCTTCCAGCATTAATTAAAGGTTTGCTCTGGGCCCAGCTACAGAGAAGACCGTAGGGTATAACACAGAGAGGGAGCAGCCATAGCTTCAAGGAAGCTTCAGGCAGCTCTAAACATGTCAGACCTCTCCCCATCCCCTCTGCTCTAGAAGCAGAGCCAAGGGCCCCTCAGGGAGAAGGCATCTCCAAGTTAAAACTCAAGTATCTGCTTCCCATACGAAAGAGAAATGGTTGTGCTGGGGAAAAGTCTATAAAGTGCAATTATCCTTAAGATTCCTTTTCTGTGATCTCCTCTCAGTCCTGATGATGCCTACAGTCGAGCTCAGTGTATAGAGGATGCTCTTCACATCAGAGGCATGGACTTGTGCAGTGTGAAAACTCTGCCTCCCATCCCTCTGATCCAACTTCCATGGCCAGGACCAGAGCATCTATTAAGTTGTCTAGTAATAATCATAATTACAAAAAATTATTGCAGTACCATTTACTGAGAGCTCACCAAGGCAATCGCTTAATGTATGCTATGTCAGTTAAGCCTCACAGTAATTTGGTGAAATGGAGATTATTATCGCCATTTGACAGATGAGGAAGCCAAGGCTTAGATCTGCTTTCAAGTCTGAGACTACTTACCATTTATAAGCCATGGAAGGTTGAATAAGTCAATTTACTTTAGTAACTTTAATAGAACGAAAATGTGTGCAAAGTCTTTCTCTGAAATGTGTACCCAATTCTTATCCCCACGCCTCCTAGTCAACCTCAGATAGACTCTTGGGTTACTCTTGGAATGGGAAGCAGCTGTGGTCTCAGGCTTTAGGAATCCTGGGAGTGCGAGAAGCATTGTCCCACTCTGGAAGTGCCAAAG